TGGTTTCCCCTGGTATCCCCAGGGGCTTCACTTCAGCTAGCGTTGGCGGTGGGGGGGGATCCACACTCCCCCCCCCACTGCCCCAAACAGGCAGGAGCATCTCGGCAAGGGAGCAGTGACTGCCTCTGGGCAGGAGCAGAGGGACAGCGAAGAGCTAAGCAGGGTGCTGGACTGAATTACCCCAAAGAGGTGAGTCTAGAAAATGGGGTAAGATCTCCTCAAGGAAGGGCCAGCAGCCCCCAGCCTTTGCAGAGAACCAACCTGCGAAGTGCCGGGGTGGGGGAGAGGAGTGGGTTGCCCCAGCACAGCCTGGGAAGCTCATACCATCCCCACCTTGAGGTTCTTGGAGGGGAACCAAGAGGACCCGGCCAGGAAAAGCCACCTTAATCCTTGCCCAGTTCATTTTTTAGGGACTGAGGGCACGCAGGCACACCACTGTGGCATTTGCTGTCCGGACCCACTCCGCCAGGGCACCACGGGGGATAGGGTTCAGTGTCACCATGGGTCAATCCCTGAAGTACTGGCACGCAAAGATTGTCCTGGGAGGGTCATTGCTCTTTAACATCCCCTACATGCCAACCAAGCTCTACCCCAGCACAGCTGAGCGAGAGCCACACTGGTGCCTGTGGTGCTACTGGGAACTCTGGGCAGCCAGGCACTACCACCTGCCTTTCCCTCCTTGCCTCCCTCTCCCTCCTCGCCCTCACATTGGTGACGCCAGGAGGTTTGGTTTGGTTTCCCCTCCAGTGGTCAACAGGGACCCTGAGCAAGCAGAGCAAGCAGCATCCCAGACCTGCACACCCTGCTGCTCCCGGCCCCAGCATCTTGCCAGCTTTGTTGCTGCTGGAAAGGGCAGCTTTTCTTTTCCACCACTGCCATTTTTGAATAATTTTGTGGCCTCCAAGAAGGCCACCAGAAATCTCCTACTCTGTGGAACCACAATGGCCACCGCCCAGCATCCTGATACAAAGCCTTGCTCCCTGACCAGCTTCACCCTGCCACCCGCACTGGTGATGGAGACCAAGCGGGCCAGCCCCAGAAGCCTGGGCACCGCTCTGGCCCCGTCAAAACCAGGACCAGGGCTCCCCTGCCTCTCTCCCAGGATGAAAGAAATCCAGATTTATTTTTTCCTTGCAGGTGCTGCTGTTTCAGTGCCAGACCTGGCAGGGCTCAGCCAGCACCACCCGAGCCCACCCTCCCAGCGGTCCCAGCCGCTGGTGAAGCAGCAACGTACAACCTGAAGTCGGTCACTGGTTTCCCCTGGGAGGGGGG